GCCCCCCAATTATAAGCCCGTGCCCCCCCCCCCCGGCCCTTCCGAGCTCACAAACCCACTCGCTCGCCAGAGAGAGAGAGACCCTTCCAGGCCTGCTCACGGCACTAGAAAGCCACCAGCTCTCCAAGCTCTCCCTGCACTGCCAGACACAAGGATGGGCTAATTGCCCCTGTAGTGAGAGCGGGCCCCCCACCCGTTGGCAGCTGGCCTTCCCCTCCTGCTTGTCGAGCTGTAGGTCTGGCAGGGACCTCAAAGCCATCCAGTCCAGAGCGCTGTCCTGAGCCAGGACCTCGGCAGCCTAGCCCGGGCTGTTCTTAAACCCCACCAAGGCTGGGCGACCCGCAGCCTCCTTAAGAGCCTTTTCCAGGTTCCTGCTCTCAGGGGAGCTGGGCTCGCTCATCGTATGGAGCCTCAGCCTCTTTGCTCAGACCAAGCCCAGTGGTCCCGGTCCGGCCTTGGGGGAACAGCTGATCCCCAGCCCTTACCAGATCTGAAGACTTGTCTGGTTCCTGCTCAGTCATCCTGTCTCCAGCCTAAACAGGCCCAGTTCTTTAACCTTTCCTCCCATCACCTTCTAATCCTTTTATCATTTTTGCTGCTGTCCTCTGGCTCACAGCAATTTCTCTCTCCCCCAAAGTGGGGCACCAATAATAGCCAGTTGCAGCCTGACCTGTGCTAACGCAGCAGGACAATTACCTCCAGTGTCTTGCATCTGACGCTCCTGCTAATACCCCAGACTGATATTAGCCTGTTTAGCAGCTGCATTGCACTGCTGGCTCAGAGCCAATTTGTGATCCTCTAACTCCCAGCACCACAACCACCTCACCAGCTAGCCCCAGTTTGTGCCTGCACGTTGATCTGGATCTGCTCTCCCAGCACATGCAGTTGTTGCCTAGTCCTTCACCTGTCATTCCGGGAGCACGGGCTGTGGCAGCACTCCGCTGTTGCCAGGAGGAGTAGGAAGGAAACCCGTGTTGGGATTTCGCAAGACAGATTCTTTCCTGCCCTGAGCAGAGGTCCAGACTGGGCCCTAAAGCAGGGAGCTCAGAGCCTTAGAAGGCAGCCCATAATCCCCGTGCTGGAAACCACCAGCGCTTGGGCTGCAATCCTACGGAGACAGGCCTGTCTATGGGTCTGCAGCCGCAAGCACAGCAGCAGGGCTGCTCTCGTAACAGAATGAAGCTCAACTTCTGCAACACTTGTTGATGGTCACAAGCTCTGCCACTTTGCCCAGGCGGCTGGCAGGGAAGCTTGAGGGGCGGGAGAATGCAGGGCAAGTGCCCTACGACCAGGCACTGCTCCCCTCTCCCCCCAGGGGCCAGGACAGCCAGTGGAGGATGGGCCTGAGGTGGAGACATGCTGTGCAAGAGGCAGGCGCTGTCCATCGGCCGCAGAGACAGGAGCCAGGTTCATAAAACAGACTTTATTCAGGTTCGGAATATATTCACAACAGCTACAATGGGAAGGTTTCCCAGTGGCCCTACAGGCGGCAGCAGCAAGCCTGGGACGCACTGACAGCCCGTTTGGCTCGGGCTGCGCCCTGCCCAGGCTGCAGAGACAGACTCAGAGGGAGCCCAGCACATCGCAGTCACTGCACCCCCTGAGGGGAGCCAGGGCCCCAGACAGCGAGCGTGGTCCCCTCCCAAGGAGGGTGGCTGCAGCAAAAGCTGGCGGAGCCAAGGCCAGGCGCCACCCCCAGCCGCTTCCTCTGGTGAGCACCCCAGTGCACCCCTCAGCAGCAGGCCAGGCCACCCACAGCCAGGTACCCTCAGTGTGAAGAACCTGCCAGCCTCCCCCTCCAGACGTCCCCAGAGCCTTGTCCCCCTGCCTTTTGCAAGGGGACTGAAAGCGACACAGCCCTTGGCTCCCCGTGGGGGGAGGCAGGCACAGCTCACGGTACAAAGACATTTGTGCTGTTATCTGCAGCGCGGGCCAGATGCCTGTTTGTTCCAAGCCCTTCCCCACACAGGGGTCCGGACAATTACAAGGCACATGGGCAGCCTCTCCCTCTCCGGTTTCTGTGCCTAAAGGGGGTGGCCATTCTGCCTTGCACCCCCACTTAGTCCAAAGGCCCTTGGCTGCTAGACCGGCTGGGGGGTTTTCACTGCAGCTTGGGAGCTCAGTTGCTTGAGCCACCCGTAGCCTGAACTTGCTTCTCGCGAATAAGAAAACCACAGGAAGTGCCCCTACCCAGTGTCTCGTAGTGACGCCTTCTGCACGGAGAACCCAGGCCAGGATTCACGCTGAGCTACGGTCACCAGCTTCCACAGCAGGGCCTGGCAACCAGGGTGGACACGGACAAGCTAGTGGAGTAGCGAGCAGTGTGTTCCGCAGCAGGGCCCTTGCAAGGCCTTGCCTCTGCTGGAGGCAGAGAGGAGCCTTTGTACAGCGTGGCAATCACACCCAGAACTCCTGGTACTACCAGTAGGGGCCACGGTTCTCCGAACGCCTCCAGGTCTGCAAGTGAGAGAGGACCAGCATGGCTGCTTTGGAGGAGCCCAGCTCCTCCCCAGCCACACTGGAACCCCGCACCAGCTGGGAGAGGCTGCTGGGCAGGGGTGAGGAACCTGAGTGGCGTATCTTGTAGTTGATCCCCCGGTTGTTGTCCCAGTAGATTTTCTGCCCACACTGGAAGGAAATGCAGAACTCGATGGCTCCGCAGAAGCCGGGTGCTCTGGGCAGGGTGACGTCGAAGGAGAACGTGTCTGCATCAGCAGCGCTGTAGGTGTTGTGCATGTATTGGCAAACGACATCCCGGAAACTCCTCCAGGAGTCAAAGGTGATGCGGACGTGCACCTTCTTCTCGTAGCCGATGTTCCTGACCTTGATGGTCCCTGACAGCGACTGCTCCTGGATCAGACAGTTCTCCAGGCACACCAGGTTGCTGTGCAGGCGGCTGCGGAAGGCCATGTAGTCAGCAGACGGCTGGGGGAAGTCCAGGGTGTACCTCTTAGTCTCTGGGCGGGGATCTCGCAGCTTGGGCCTCAGGCAGGTCAGGTCAGATAGGGCTTGCTGCAGGTCACACAGGTCCTCCTCGATTTTGGAAAAGAAACGGACGGCTGTCAGAGAAAGCCCCTTCATGTCAGCAAACACTACCCTCTTCTTCTTGTTCCTGCTGCCCTTGGCGCTGTCCCACCGCTCCAGCTCCACACTGGCCTTCTGGTTCAGGCAGGAGCGGAGGGGTTTGCGCCCCCGGCCACTCCGCAGCTCCTCATAGGAGTTCAGCAGCTTGCGGATGGGAGGAGAGCGGGTCAGGCAGAGCCGCATGGCAAAATCCACAGGCATGGCTGGGGGCGGGCTGAACACCTGGAATAGCCTGGAAAGACGACAGATGGAGGTTAAGGGAGCATAGCCTGGATGCAGGGGAGCCAAGAGCAGCAGGAGATATCTGGCAGGTCCAGGGGACATTAAAAGCAGAGTCCAATTAACCCCTAGCAACCTCCCACCCCTCAAATAACCAGCAGTCCCACTGCCAGAGACCTACAGCCATGGCCCAGTGGCTGCTGCTGCCCCCCCCC